TCTGGTAGAAGATTCGAAATTACCGAATTAGCCGCATCAATCAAATTAGGTGGAGTACTGCTAAGTTCAGCGTCGCTCGAAATTTCTATTATTTCACAGCTAAAAATATCAGGAACTGAAAAACTAACAGAAGCAAAAAGTAAAATGATTACTGTTGCTAACAACTGAATCCATAGATACTGAATCTGTAAACAACTGGCATTTTATTTCCATAGTTACAGTTATTACTTACCTTCCTGATTTTATTTTGGCAACATATTTTAAGCCAGTTCCACACTAACTGTTATATTAAACTAAGGTGTATTTTTTCCCAAGATAGATTTTGACATTGTCAACTTTGAAACACAAACAATATCGCTTGGCCCTGATTGGTCGCAAAATAAGGTGTCCCTGCAGGTTGGCATCAGTTTTACAATGCATGTCGTGCAAATGGCATCTTGCGACCAATAAGCGGCATTGTTAATGTTTCAAAGTTGACAATGTCAAAATCTATCTTGGGAAAAAATACAATGTACGCATATTACTAAATTTATTTTAGAACAATAATTACGAGTTATACCTACATATTTTAACGTTTGTAGAAAAAATATTGTTTGCAACTCGTGCGCGAAATACTTTGGTGATCTCGACTATTTTTTTAACTCGGCTGCGCCTCGTTAAAAAAATCAGATCTCGATCACCAAAGTAGCATTTCGCGCACTGGATACAAAAATAACTATTAATTACTAATTTATTATCATTATTAAATATACAACAATGATAATAGATAACACCATAAATGACAATACGAATATACCAAAATCACTTTGAAAATCATACCTGAAATTCCGCTCTACATCGCACGCCTATGACCTTTGTCAGAAATAAACAAATTAAATAAAATTTCGGCGCCCCTGCCGTTTAATGACAGGATGGTATCCCGTAACGGCGGCGTGCGCAGAAAAGATGCGCGTGAGAGTTAGCCTGCTCTGCTGATTGTTTTTGTATATGCTGTGGCTGTAGGCTGTAGTAGTAGTGTCACAGTTTGTATTTACGGTCTAAAGCCGCGTCCAGAGATTAGTAAAATAAATGCGTTGCGTTTAATTCAGGATTTGCCACAAATTCTTGCAGCGCAAAATGGGTATCTTGAACCTGTGCGCCGTGCGTTCTTGCTCAAAACGTGTGTGGCGGTGGTGCATGGCTTTCCTAAGCATGTATCCATTCTGGCAATTCTGGGCCCAATCATGTGTATCAAAACTTCAAAATATTGACCTTTTTAATTTAAAAGCCTCTCTCTCTGGCGTCAAACTGTCAGACGCCAAAAGAGTATGAAAACAACGGCTGACAGCCGCTGACAGTGGTTTATTGACAAGACTTTTGTACATGTGGAAACTGAAAACTATTATTTCCTCGGTTTTTTCAAAGTTTTTTCCCAACAACGGTGATTGTGTAGTGTAATAGTATATTACATATCGAGTAGGGAAGTGTTTCATTACTGTTGAGAGATTTATATAGTCAATCGAGACGCGAAGCGTCGAGATTGACTATTAATCTCGAGACAGAAATGAAAACTTTCCTTCGAGGTTTGTATAGATACTATTTTATTTGCAAGCACACCATTAATTATGATTAGTCAATCAATTTTATTAATAATGAAAAAATAAAACAAACATGCCAAAATGTGTCATTCACTGCTTTGACGTTTTTACCTGACATGTTCTCATTGTTGCCAGCAAAGGTAGATAAATTAGAGTGAGGGAAATCGGTGAGGGAAGTTGAATAGGGAAATCGATGAGGGAAATCGAAGAGGGAAGTGACACAGGTAAAAGGCGATTTTCAGCCTGGAATGATTATTATTTGGTTATAACCAATGCATTTCCGCCGTCGCGGTTTTAACCAAAGTAGGGGAAGTTGTAACGTCACATATCAGCTGATTTGCTTTTGGTATTTACCACTTATAACCGATTATAACCCAGCTTTGGACTTGGGTTAATCTTTTGGTTACAGCTTTTTGATGTTATTGTTATTATTTTTGGAATTTGTATTGGTGTTTTGTGATTATGCAGTTGCGTTGTAGCCTGGCACAATGGAAGAACTATACATTCACTCACTCACTGCAATTCACTATAGGCGATTTTCAGCCTGGAATGATTATTTATCGGTAAATACCGTGGTTATTCTTTTGGTTGACAACTTTGACAGCCAAGGGTAACGTCATGGCCCCCCACCATTCAAGAATCATAACCCAAGGAACTGACCGCTGAAATGATTTGGTTATAGCAGTGTAGGATTATGTTTATTATTCTTATTTGTTTTTTCATTTCAACAATAGTTTTTTGTTTAGGTACAAAAAATGGAGCTGAATCTCTCGTTACTCTCGTTTATCGAACAGATTTTCTTTGGGGATGATCTAAACCTCGATCTAAACATGGTGAATTGCAGTGAGTGAGTGAATGTATACTTCTTCCATTGTGCCAGGCTACAACGCAACTGCAAAATCACAAAACACCAATACAAATTCCAAAAATAATAACAATAACATCAAAAAGCTGTAACCAAAAGATTAACCCAAGTCCAAAGCTGGGTTATAATCGGTTATAAGTGGTAAATACCAAAAGCAAATCAGCTGATATGTGACGTCACAACTTCCCCTACTTTGGTTAAAACCGCGACGGCGGAAATGCATTGGTTATAACCAAATAATAATCATTCCAGGCTGAAAATCGCCTCATGTTTAGATCGAGGTTTAGATCATCCCCAAAAAAAAATCTGTTTGATAAACGAGACTAACGAGAGATTCCGCTCTATTTTTTGTACCTAAACAAAAAACTATTGTTGAAACGAAAAAACAAATAAGAATAATAAACATAATCCTACACTGCTATAACCAAATCATTTCAGCGGTCAGTTCCTTGGGTTATGATTCTTGAATGGTGGGGGGCTATGACGTCACACTTGGCTGTCAAAGTTGTCAACCAAAAGAATAACCACGGTATTTACCGATTAATAATCATTCCAGGCTGAAAATCGCCTAAAGTGTCACTTCCAAATTTTTAAAAAGTCAGAAATGACAAGATTACATATATGATTGCAAATAAAAAGAATTCCTATTTACCGGCGGACGTGTCTTTCCATAAGTTTCCATCAAATCCTACATTTAACAAACTTTGGATACATAAAATCAGAAAGAATACTCGCAAAAAAAAAGGGAGATCCACGGCCTATCAAGTATACAAAGTAATCGACGTTCAAGTTCAGTTTGCGGTAGCTGTTTGCTTCCAAAATAATCCACCGCTTTCTCCCTAGCGAAGTTCTGCAAATGAAACACTGACTCCATATAGTGACTCTTCCCACATTTTCTTTCAAAACACCCAATACACACTGGCATTGACAGGCAAGCAAAATGGCGGGAAAATTATTGTTTTCATACTTATTGTCCATCTCTTTTACCTTGCGTTCGGTATTTTGCTCGAAGAGCAGAGCGTGCCGAGTAGAGCAGTAATCACATGACCAACGAGCGAACAGAGCAATTGAACGCTATATCGGACAGCCCAAAATTTCAATAAACGAACGCGAATGAGCTTGCACCGAGTACACTTTTCAAATAAACGAACGGAAAATTCAAGCTCGGAGAACTCAGATCAAATTACCGAACGCACGGATAATTGAAAACGTCAATTCCCCAAGTCAAAAATTCAGTAACTATGTTGGCAATAGTTGTATTCCTTTCAAACCTAGGAGGAGCTCCGGAACAGGTCCGGGGCGTTACGCGCTTATTCCTTTCGAAAAATGTTTGTTGCACCTGAGTGCTGAAGCTTGATTCAAACCATTTAAATGCATGAAAGCCAGCGCATCTGTTCTTTTCAAATCGGGGTCGACTAACACTGGAGCGAGTAGGTAGCTCTCTAGCTAGTGTTTCAAGCTCTTGAAAGGAATACAACTTATATACAAGCCTTTTCTACTACTCCAATATCTCCTGGTTTTGTTTCTTTTTTTCTCTTCCATTTTCTTGATAAGAAGGCACATAACTATGAAAGCAGCACCTTTTTTTGGCAGTGTTATCAATCCATCAGGGTCCTTTATTCTTGAAACAGCGGAGCAGCGTTTCCAGAAGAACGAATGTTCCGTCCTTGTTACTTATGGCCGTTTCCACCAACTATTTTAGGGGAGCCTTAACGATAAGTATTCCCTAAAATGACATTTTTACATGGGAAATGTCAGTTTAGGGTATACCTATTAGCTGTATTCCTTTCAAGAGTTTCAAGCACTTGCAGGGAACACAGGAACACATGCGTGGTGTACCAAACACTTTTCGAAAGGAATAAATGCGTGAAGCCCCGGAGCTGTTCCGGAGCTCCTCCTAGGTGTGAAAGGAATACAACTATTGTTAGGGCTTCCCTAAAATAGTTGGTGGAAATGGCCAATATATTACGATTTGCATATCATTGAGAAAAACAGAGCACTCGTTCTCCTGGGAGTGCTGCTCCCCTGTTTCAAGAATAAGGACCCAGAAGACAATCACAGAATTTTATTTGTCAAAATCGATGCGTTTGCGAAAAAATACGTCCACACTAGAACGATGTTGCGCCGCAAATCCCTTTGATGTTTTGAAAAAAAACCGACAAATCGCGGATCGCGTCCGGTGAATGCCGCGAAAATTTCTGCGTGCGTCCGTATTCGGCGAACTGGTCCACACTCGCATTCTGTATCGCACACACAAATTTGTGCAGAATGCCACGTACAACGTAAATTTTTACTAATGTGGACGAGGCTTAAGGTGAGGTGGCGCCATCTACGGACGATATTGTATACTAATGCTGGTGCAGGGTGCAATTCATTGGCATTGGGTGCAACAAAGCAATATAAAAGAAATGATACGAACAAAGTCTGGAATAAACAGAAACGAATCATTTTATTAGATTATTTCTTCACAAAATAGGTATCAAAAAATGGAATCGAAAACGCGGCTCATATCAGATACAGAAACCTTTAAAACTTTGACATTACACTGTGTCATGTGTCAAATTTGTGCAAGTCGCCCAAGTTACCAAGCGAAAATATTTTTGAGGTTAGATCTGTTACTCCTGTTTGCTTTTTGATTTTCAGTTCTTTCGAAGTGATAAACAGGAAAATAATCCAAGTTTTCAAAAATGTCTGCAAGATACGATCGTGCCATTACCGTATTCTCACCAGACGGTCATTTATTGCAAGTGGAATACGCACAGGAAGCTGTGAGAAAAGGATCAACTGCTGTAAGTTTGTAGTTATCGTAGATTAGACTTCTCACTAGATTCAACTATTTCTGTGAGTATTTGGACTGACTTTGTGAATGGGGTGTTTGACTATGAGAAATAGTCCTTGAAAAAATCATATTATTATCAACATTTGTCAAAAAATACTTCCTTAATCTAAGGCGTCCATCCAAATAAAGTTGACCAACATCGCTTGGCCTTAAAAATGTATAGTCTGTTTTTTTTTTAAGATAATTCCCCCAAGTCAAGAATTTATTACTTAACTATGTTGACACAAGCCTTTTCTACATAAAAAATTTGGAAGCTTAACAATTTTACATAATTTAACAATTTTACCCGCCTAGAGGGGTTAATCTGTGGACCTTTTGTTTTGACGTGATTTTACATTATTGACATTTACCGCAACGCCCCAATACGTTCAGAAATAGCGCACCCAGAGTGCACTCCAAGTGATGATGTCAGACTACTCTGACCAATAACTCACACTCCATTTCTAAGTGCACTGCAGGTTTATTTAGGATTAATTATTGAAATCTTGAAAGCTGCCCTTTAGTCGATCCCTCGGTTGAGCCTTTAATGCTTTTGTACTTAATGGCAGTGCCGGATTTACCATTTTGCCGCCCTACGCCTGTTTAAAAAGGCCGCCCTCATGTTGGCAGGGGCGGCGCTTGCCTCAAAAAACTGGGGGGCCAAGAAGATACAGAACACGGACAGTGGCGTACTCGTAGCCAGGCTTCTGGGGACGGAGAGGGCAAACTTAAAAGGGACGCCAGGATTAAACGAAAAAAATTTTGGGTGCCACGCCCAAAAACGTTTATTTTGAACCTTCAAATTTTTTTTTTCTGTACTACCTACATACACTAGGTATACATTAAATTGATCTGTGTGGGTTTTCTTGTTCGATTTATTTTTTTCATATGCACTTTTCATTTTTAAAACCGGAGTTTACAGGCTTTATGATTTTTTCTGGTAGGTACCTACCTATATGTTTTTTGTGCTTTGTTATTTTTTTTTGTATTTGTTATGTTATAACATTGTTCGAATTTATCAAAAACCAAATAAAAATCTAACGCGAAACAGAACCACGTTGCGCGTTGGATCTTCAGCTTTTTCCTGATTATTTTTTGTCTTTTCCTGATTTTCTTTTTTTTTGAAATTTTGCCGCCTCCCCAGATTTGCCGCTTTACGCTTGTGCGTATAGGGAAATACGGCACTGCTTAATGGTTGTCAAAATAATCTGTTTTGTTCGAGGGGTTAACCACCTGTGCTAATAGGTGTATTTTTTTTATACAAATTTTGGTAATAATTATGTAGTAACTGGTAATGAGACGTAATATTTATGTGGGGAAAGACCCTGTACATCTCGAGAACCATAGTTTTTTCATTATGAATGTTTTGTCTGGATTGTTTTTCAACATTGTGACTCTCAAACCATATTTGGATTGATTGTAGAACAACTTCATATGCAATTATTGTCTGTTTATTTCCAGGTTGGTGTTCGTGGAACTAACACAGTAGTCCTAGGCGTTGAGAAGAAATCTGTCGCAAAACTTCAAGAAGAACGTACAGTGAGAAAAATATGCCTTCTAGATGAACACGTAGTTATGGCATTTGCTGGACTAACTGCTGATGCTAGGATTTTGATTAATCGTGCTCAAATCGAGTGCCAGAGCCATAAGCTCACTGTTGAAGATCCTGTAACTTTGGAGTATATCACTAGGTAAGAATCTCACTCTGATGCATCAACTTTTTTTTTTTTAATGTATAACAAACTAAAATGTTTCTAATGAACAATTCTGAAGTTGATACTTTACAAAAAATACAAAATAAAGCATTACGAATCATATTGGGATGCAACAGATACACTAGAAGAACTGATATGCTGAGTCTCAAAAGTCTGTTGAGTGTTAGGCAAACTTTGACCCTTAACACCATGTTGTTTATATTCAAAATGAATAACCAACTAGTTCCCCAACATCTTTTGAATAATTGCAGGTTTGTTAAAGATATACATCGAGATATACATGAATATAACACAAGATCTAGAAATAACTTTTATTTGGATAGATTAAGTACTAGTTATGGTCAGAATAGCATTTTTTATAGGGGATTAAAGCAATACAATGAATTACCTGAATTTATTAAAAACTGTGATAGTCTTATGAACTTTAAAATTTCTTGTACTGAATATATTAAGCAAAATGTAAAATTATAATCATAAGAATTTAGCTATTTATCTTTTGTTGTGAAATTTCGTTACATAATGTAAATATTACTAGCCAAGTGCTAAATAAACTGATTATTATTACTAATAAATTCAGTATATTATACATAAATCAACACTTACAAAATATATTAATTTTCTCTACTAGATACATTGCCAGTTTGAAACAAAAATACACTCAAAGTAATGGTAGAAGGCCTTTTGGGATATCTTGCCTAATTGGTGGGTTTGATGACGATGGTACCCCTCATTTATACCAAACAGAACCCTCTGGAATTTATTATGAATGGAAAGCCAACGCTACTGGCAGATCTGCCAAGACTGTTAGAGAATTCTTGGAAAAATATTACACCAATGAGGAAATAGCAACTGAAAGAGGTGAATCCAAATTTATTTCAAAAGTTGTTTTATTTTGTAAATAATTATCTTTTTAGGTACTATAAAGTTAGCCATTCGTGCTTTACTCGAAGTAGTTCAATCCGGTCAGAAAAATCTTGAAATTGCTGTAATGCGCCATAATGAGCCAATGCAAATGCTTGATGCTGAAACCATAGAAAAATATGTTACGGAAATTGAGAAAGAAAAGGAAGAAGAGGCTGAAAAAAAGAAGGCAAAGAAGTAAAGTATTTTCTTTTGTGGTGGACATTTATGATTTTTTGAAGTAACTTTTTTCTTATAATAATTATAATTGAGGTTAAGTGATTAATATAAGGCGTTTTGCTAAAAAGAATTTGGAGTTTTATTTTGCTCTCGCTTCAAACGTCTATCTAAATACATATTGTCTGCCCAGAGGTTCTGAGTCTACGGAAGGAATTTGGATGTATATGTTCGATATTGCCACGTTTAATTATAAAAAAGCAAAAATACTAGGCATGAAGTATAGTTCATGTGAAAATCCATTTTTTAATAACAAAATATAGATAACAATAATGAAACGATAAAGATTCTAATGTGGTTGTTAGATCTATTCTTATTTTAATAACTGATTTCTTCAATTTTGTCTAATATAAAAAATGAACATTTTCCAAAGATACCATCAGCTTTTGACAATTTGGCAAGCATTCAGCCTGGATGAACCTGATTGGTATAGTTTTTGGCAGAATCGCCGTTGCCACAGGGAACCATGCAGTTGTCAATGGGCTAACATCACCTTACGTCTCGCTATTGGCCAGGGTTCCTGTGTATATTGAAATATCCAGTGGCGCGGATTTGGTGATTGTCAATTTTTGTGTACGAGTTGCATTACAATATTATACTTCCAAAAAGTTCCGCACGCTGCTGGGTATTTTATGAATGAAATCAGCCATTTTTTTTACAACTGCATTCCCCTTCCCGTTGCCCCGTGGACACAGAGTCGCTGGGCAGACATTATTTGGCCTCAGATAGGAAATCTTTCATGAAACGAGTGTGATCGAGGAGGTATAGGTGTAGCATGTTTACTCTACTTGATAAAACATGAACGAATGCCTATCTTCATGAGGGTGAAAACAAATCAAATGACTGTAATCGGTGCCTTAATGGTCACAGTTTCAGTTATTTTTGTATATTTAGGGCCAAATTATTATGGACTGACTGGTAATCGTCTGGTTGTTACCTAGCAGGTACTTTCTATACTCTAGATAATAGAAAGTACCTGCTAGGTAACAACCAAACACTTACCAGTTGGTCCATAATTTGGCCCTTAGAAAGCGGTATTGTGATGAGTATAGAAAGGTTATAAATAGAAAAAAAAAAAGTTGAACTAAACTAAGCGGCAGATGAAGTGAGACACCCAAAAAATTGCCTAATTTTGACTTGCTATAACTTCGACATTTCTTTGCCGATCTTTGATTATCAGGCAGGGTTACAAAGCGCCATCTTTGGTCTATGCGTCAGTGTCGTCGTAGATTTTTTAAAAAAATTCCTTCTCGTTATACAGGGTGTGAATGTAAGGTGGCGAAAAATTTCCATTTTTTGGCGAAGAATATGGGAAAGATGGAGGGTCCAATAAAGTTCTTTCTAGTGGTGACTCGATCACTAGGTCAACACCTCGAGACGTCTTTGCCATTTTTTCGATACATCGCGTTGCTATGGAAATATGACCATTTTATGGTATTTCGTTTTTCTCTTGAAATTAGCGATTCTTTAATTGAACAATAACAGATTCCGTTTAAATTGCATCATGGAATGACTTGTATAGAAAATAGTCAACACCAGTGGCGTGCAAAAGGGGGATTATGAAATTAAAATAAAAAAAAATTGATTTTATCTGAAATTTTTAAGTTTTGTTGAGCTTTCAAATTTAACGCCCAAATGAACCGTAAGGACTCAATTCAGATTAGTTGCTGGAATCAGGTTAGGACTTCTCTTTTATATGCAAATTTTCCAACTAAGCGAGAATAAACTCCCAAGTCCATACGATGCATATGGGTGTGAAAGGTGTTATAAATAACTCTGATATAGTGTCATTTTGGTTCTCCTCTAGCCTGAATAACTGCGTGACACCGCCTTGGCACGCTCGAAACTATTCAGTTGATTAGCTCTATAGTAACTGACTCCCAGAGCTCCAGAATCATCTCCTCGAGATCGTCTAGAGCTTCTGGCTGACGTTCTCCCCGGGAAAGCTCTAACTTCATTCAGCTCCAGACGTGCTCAATTGGATTCATGTCTAAGGATCTGTGAGGCAATTCGGTACGATTGAACTTTTGCCCTTGCAGATACCGGTTCACTAATAATGCTCGATGAGACTGAGCATTATCGTCTGCAAGAACAAAATCCCCGCCATAATTTCGAGCATGTCGGAGAACTTGCGGAATCTAACATTTATCCAGGGACACTTGGCCGTTAACGTTGCCCCGAAATACCACGATACGACGAGTTCTGTTTTTCCGATGTGTTAGATACCGACCCAAACTGTCAATCCTCCACCGCCAAATGCAACTTGAGGACACATGTTTTCTTCTAAAAAACGTTTTCCCCATCTCCGTCAGGTTAGCAATCGGCCGTCAGAATTGTAGAGGTTAAAACGGCATCCATCAACGAAAAGACAGTCTCTCCACCTTAAATCCCAATAATTCAGGTATTCCTGGGCCCATCTTTTTCTGTTCCCCCGGTGAATGTTTGTAAAAAGTGAGCACTTTGCCCGACGGGAGAATTTAATCCCTGGTCATGTAGGCGCCTTCTAATGTTCTCTGCTGAAACATTCAACTGCAGATGCGTTAGGATTCTCTTGACAGTCCAAACTCTATTTTCAATTGCAGTACGTACTACTAGTCGATCCTGACGAGGATTTGTTCTTTTTTGAGATCCTCCACCGTGTCGGTGAGCAGCAGTACCGTTGACAGGTCTGTTCACACGTTAACATTAAATAACATGAAAAATACTGTTTTTTTTTTTTCACTAAACGCTTCTGAATATCAAAATCAAATTCATCACAGTTATTTATAACACCTTTTTAACTGTAACGCTCAACAAAACCGTTAAAATTTTCAAATAAATCCATTTTTTTTTTTTTTTAAATTTCATAAATTCCCTTTTGCACGTCACTGCTGTTGAGTACTTTCTATACAAGTCATTCCATGATGCAATTTGAATGGAATCTGTTATTGTTCAATTAAAGAATCGCTAATTTCAAGAGAAAAATGAAATACCATAAAATGGCCATATTTCCATAGCAACGCGATGTATTGAAAAAATGGCAAAGACGTCTCGAGGTGTTGACCTAGTGATCGAGTCACCACTAGAAAGAACTCTATTGGACCCTCCATCTTTCCCATATTCTTCGCCAAAAAATGGAAATTTTTCGCCGCCTTACATTCACACCCTGTAAAACGAGAAGGAATTTTTTAAAAAAATCTTCGACGACACTGACGCATAGACCAAAGATGGCGCTTTGTAACCCTGACTGATAATCCAAGATCGGCAAAGAAATGTCGAAGTTATAGCAAGTCAAAATTAGGCAATTTTTCGGGTGTCCCACTTCATCTGCCGCTTAGTTTATTTATACCAAAGAATATTATAGACTAACGTCTCTAGAAGTCTCGTCCGTATTCTGATTTTTGATACCTCGATGGACGCCGGCTTTTGCCGGTGTGGACGCTGGCTCGAGTCTATTGCCCACTGTTGCCGAGTTGTCAGTGCTGTTGATTCAGCGTCCAGCCAGCGAGCCAGCATCCGTGTCTGCTTCTCTGAATGAAGTTATTGAAGTGAAATATTTGCTTTGCGTGCATAGGGAGACAGACGCGTGCCAAAAGGAATTAGGAAGTTAAGCATATATTTTCTAACATATTTGATAATTTACCAACGAATATCATAGATGGATGCTATTCTATCATTTTCTTTAGGTTTTTTTTTTCAGTATATTTGGCAAATTTGCCACTTAGAAATTTATGTTTAATTTCGAATTATGAATTATTTATTTATTTTCCAGTAGATCGGTTTATTTACCAACAAGTAAATTTTGGGGTCGGTCAAGTTTCCGCCTGTATTAAACAAATTTCAAAAATAAATACCTAAACCATAATAATTTTGCACACAACACAACGAAAACTAGAGCATTTTTTTAAACTAGGGGCAAATTTGACCGTTCCCCCTTGTTTGTCTAAAACTTGAAAAATTCCTATTCACCTAAATTTGCACAATTTCGCATGCCTATTTTCAAATTTTGCACACTTTTCTGGGGAAAGTTAAAGTATGTTTTTTTTTAAAGATAATTCCCCAAGTCAAAAATTCAATACCTATGTTGACAACACAAGCCTTTTCTACATAAAAAATTTGAAAGCATTGACAATTTTACATTGCATTGCCAACTTAATGTCATTTTGACTTTTATCTTAAAAAAAAAAACTTTTTCTACAAACGTGTCAAAAATGCAATTTTTAACACCCCCCGTAGCATTAAAAATGTTACTTTATCGCACTAGTGCCATTAAGTCTTTATAGCACTAATGTTAAAAATGAAACATCAAATTTTGAGAGCGAACGTCAAAAATGTTTGTATTTTTAGTTATTTACATTGATATTAATGGTAAAATTGGAACAACTGAGGTAGCCCGATTGGCCGCCTCATCTATATTTTTCAAGGGATCGATGCAATCTTCTCTTTCTTCTGTATTTTGTTGCATTTCTAGCAAAAATAATTACTGACCACGACATACTTTCAAGAAACTGACAAGACATTTCATTACCTGTAAAACAAGGTGCTGGTTGTTTGGATTTTTTGATAAATGTCAAATTCAATAATTTTATGTAGGAAAGATGCTTCCAATTTATTATTCATTGAAAAATCCAATTTGATGACGTCATAATTTAGAAATCTTAGATTTTACTATCACTTTTCCTTGATTGTAAACCCACTTTTCCGCAAATATTACCTCATTTTTTCGCGATTCTTATCTCACTTTTTCACAAATTCACACTCACTTTTTTTGAAATTTTTGACTCATTTTTTTTGTGATTTTTGACCCACTTTTTTGCAATTTTGTTTTCATTTTTTTGCGTTTTTTGGCTCTCACTCCTCGGCGATTACAAACTTATTTTTCTGCTATTTCATCCTCATTTTCCCACGATTGTTCCCCTACTTTCCGCGATTTTATCTCCACTTTTCCGCTAATTTGACCTCACTTTTTTTGTGCTTTTTGAAAAATATTTTTTTTTTTATTTTTGACTCATTTTTTTGCAATTTTACCATCACTTACCGCAATTCTAAATCCACTTTTTCACGATTGTAAACCGACTTTTCTGTAAATATAATC